ACAAGCTATGTATTTGCTCCAAGTACTAAAAACTGAGTTTTGTATGTGTATTAGACAGTGTGGTAAAAACACCTAAAAATGATATTTAATTTTTAATAAATGCTTATTTATAACAACAATGTCATTTCTACAATCCTTATTATTATATTGATTTCTGACCAAATCCACATTTATTTAGCATAATTCTATTAACGAACACAATTAAGTATGTAATTAATTAGTATATGGACCGAAATAATGGTGTTATATTTAATTAATGGTATATTCTTTTATAAAGATTTAAATAGTTTCCTTTTTTGTATATAGTTTGGCTAGTAATATTATCGTTTTGCTAAAACATACTAGTCACATTTTTGCATTTGTTGCTTTAAAACAATCTAAAATGTCAATATTCCATGGGTATATTGATAAATGAGGTCTAAATTATCAGAAAAATGCATTTCTACGAAAACTTGAAGGGATAGGTAAAAGATGGTATAATACAATTTGATAGACAATTAAATTTTGCATCTGATTCTCCTAAAATATACAGGGCGTTCCATTTAAATTAAAGAAGTTATTGGCGGTTAAAGCTAAATTATTTAAAATACATTTTTAGACACTCTGTATAAGGTAGTATTATTTTTATTATTGCAAGACCATAACTGATCAATAAATAAACCAGTAAATATTTAGTATTAAAAAACTTGATACCCTTGAGAAATGAAGCCTTTAAATTTTTACTGCAATTTTGCAAAATTGAAAATACTTCTAAAACGGTAAGGTTTAAGTGCTATAAACCTTAATCAAATTTACCTTTTATTTTAATAGTAGAAACTAAATGTAATATACAGGGTAAACTCTACATAAAAAATACAACTTTGATATTTTTACTTATTTGGGACAGGTATCTTGCAAAATTATTTTTAAATTGTACTAATAGTCCTTCATCGAACCCAAAACTTACAATTTGTAAAAATGTAATCGTTTAGCTAAGCAATACTCTGTGCCGTATGTGGTGAACAACCCTGTATTTATTATATAATTTTAAAGATTTTTACGTTTTATTTATAATTTAATAATGAATGTTTTGTAATTAATTAATTTATTAACATTAGTCACTGTTTTGTTTGACTGTTTAAATATTTGAGCATATTTTTCAACACATAAATTTCAAGAAATTCAATACAGTGGCTCGAAAATTTAGTTCTTAAAAAGAACTGTTTATTAAGAAGAACGACTATGAAAATCGGCAGAAAACGAGAATTACCCCAAAGATTCAAAAAACAACCCGATATTATACAAAAAAATGACTGACATGATAATTGTCAAATAATAAACGACAACGTTGCTGATCGCGGCGCAATGTGACCAACATAGGCAGTAGATTAAATTTACACGAGCAAACCCCAAAAGATCCACCGGTTCTCAAAATTTAAGCAAAAATCAGTTTTTTGAAATTTTCAAAATAAAATATGTAATTCGGTTATTTTGGACTTATTTGAAAAAAAGGCAAAGAGAAAATATGTTCCTTTTATCGAGATCCAAGAACAGCTAACCTAATAGGACTGCTCATTCAGCCAAAAGTGTCCGCCAGGGGCATGCGAAAACTACTCGCTTTGTGACGTCATTGTAGTCCTTGTCATGGTTATTAGTCCTTATCCGGCAACCAATAATACACACACGTGCATTATTAGCTGCCGAATGCAAAACGTTCATTATTTAGTTTATTTATTTAAACACCTTATATGTATGCTGTATAGAAAATTAACTGTATAAATCGTATTAAATACTCGGATAATGCATTTTTAAGAACAGCAGATCCCAACATCACCTTTAGCAAGCATTCTTTTTAGAGTACTTCCATATCTTGCTTTAAAATAATTAATAAACAATATCGTAGGCACTTAGTAAGCACTTTGTCACAATCCACAACACAAAATGAACGTATGTACACACTCTATAGCTCTAAAAACTTTAAAGACACCTTTTTCACATTTAAAATTGACAAAATAATTAATTCAAAATTTCTCAGCTGTTATTTTTATAAGTTTACCATAGGGCAACTAATAATACACACTATCATGACAAGGACTACAATGACGTCACAACTGTCAGCTGAAGCACGGGAAGAGGCGAACGTACGTCTTATGAGGATGAGCAATCCTATTAGTTTACCGTTCTTGATCGAGATCTACCAGCCCTGAAAATATTTGCACATATTTAAGACTCACCCTGTATAATGTTCGCATACATACTTCTTGAAAATAATATAAATACGGTAATAGCAAAACATTTTCCGATGCACGTCATCATCAATCATATCGAAATTGACAGTAAAGCCTGACAAAATGTTTAAATTTGTTGTATAATTTAAGATACCGAGCAGCTCTTCATTTTATTTTATATAGCAAATTATTATAACAGATATTTTATTAAGATTAAAGCTGCAAAATTTAGTTTAAAGCGATTTTTATTATCGCCATGTTGGTCACATTGCGCCGCGATCAGCAACGTTGTCGTTTATTATTTGACAATTATCATAATGTCAGTCATTTTTTTGTATAATATCGGGTTGTTTTTGAATCTTTGGGGGTAATTCTCGTTTTCTGCCGATTTTCATAGTCGTTCTTCTTAATAAACAGTTCTTTTAAGAACTAAATTTTCGAGTTTTTGTATTGAATTTCTTGAAATTTATGTGTTGAAAATATGCTCAAGTATTTAAACAGTCGAAGCAAAGAGCTTGAGTGACTAATGTTAATAAATTAATTAATTACTAAAACATTCATTATTAAATTATAAATAAAACGTAAAAATCTTTAAAAAATTATATAATAAATATACAGGGTTGTTCACCACATACGACACGGAGTATTGTAGCTAAACGATTACATTTTTACAAATTGTAAGTTTTGGGTTCGATGAAGGACTATCAGAGGTACAATTTAAAAATAATTTTGCAAGATACAGAGTGTCCCAAATAAGTAAAAAATATCAAAGTTGTATTTTTTTTATATGGAACACCCTGTATATTATTACATTTTTAGTTTCTACTATTAAAATAAAGGTAAATTTGATTAAGGTTTATTATACTTAAACCTTACCGTTTTTGAAGTATTTTCAATTTTGTGAAATTGCAGTAAAAATTTTAAGGCTTCATTTCTCCAAGGGTATCAAAGTTTTTAATACTAAATATTTACTGAAGTTTATTTATTGATCAGTTATGGTCTTGCAATAATAAAAATAATACTACCTTATACAGAGTGTCTAAAAATGTATTTTAAATAATTTCTAGCTTTAACCGCCAATAACTTCTTTAATTTAAATGGAACGCCCTGTATATTTTAGGAGAATCAGATGCAAAATTTAATTGTCTATCAAATTGTATTATACCATCTTTTACCTATCCCTTCAAGTTTTCGTAGAAAATGCATTTTCTGATAATTTAGACCTCATTTATCAATATACCCATGGAATATTGACATTTTAGATTGTTTTTAAAGCAACAAATGTACAAAATGTACAGGCTAGTAATATTATCGTTTTTAGCAAAACGATAATATTACTAGCCCATTTGTATGCAAAAAGGAAACTATTTAAATCTTTATAAAAGAATATACCATTAATTAAATATAACACCATTATTTCGGTCCATATACTAATTAATTACATACTTAATTGTGTTCGTTAATAAATTATGCTAAATAAATGTGGATTTGAGTCAGAAATCAATATAATAATAAGTTATCAAAATGAACGTCTCTGTTGTTATAAATAAGCATTTATTAAAAAATTAAATATCATTTTTAAGGTGTTACTTTTTACCACACTGTCTAATACACATACAAAACTCAGTTTTTTAGTATTTGGGGCAATTATTATTAATCAACGCAAACAGTCAGTTAATGTAGTTTGAATACTGGAATCATATTAATTGGTCCTCTTTAACAAATATTTAAACAGTTTTTTATTTTTTAATGAAATAAACGAATTATATCGACAATATTAGTATCTGTGCTCTTTAAAAAATTGGTACAAAAATAATCTAAAATGTCAATATTCCATGGGTATATTGATAAATAAGTTCTAAATTACAAGAAAATGCATTTTCTACGGAAACTTAAAGAGATAGGTAAAAATGGTATAATACAATTTGATAGACAATTAAAGTGTGCATCTGATTCTCATAAAATATACAGTGTGTTCCATTTAAATTAAACAAGTTATTGCCGTTTAAAGCTAATAATTATTTAAAATAAATTTTTAGACACTCTGTATAAGGTAGTATTATTTTTATTATTGCAGCACAATAACTGATCAATAAATAAACTTCAGTAAATATTTAGTATTAAAAACTTTGATACCCTTGGAAAAATTAAGCCTTAAAATTTTTACTGCAATTTCACAAAATTGAATATATTTCAAAAACGGTAGGGTTTAAGTATAGTAAACCTTAATCAAATTTATCTTTATTTTAATCGTAGAAACTAAAAATGTAATAATACAGAGGGTGTTCCATATAAAAAATACAACTTTGATATTTTTTACTTATTTGGGACACGCTGTATCTTCTAAAATTATTTTTAAATTGTACCTCTAATAGTCCTTTATCGAACCCAAATCTTACAATTTGTAAAAATCTCATCGTTTAGCTACAATACTCCGTGTCGTATGTGGTGGACAACCCTGTATAGGAGGAACTTCTTTATTTTTTTACATAAAATAATTGATTATTAATGGACTATCGAAAATGTTCTATTTCAGTAGCAGCATTGTGTTATTTCGCAGTAACAAAGTCGCTTTAAAAAACTGTTAGAAGTTCAAAAAATTAAAAGCATATATACCTAAATGATTTGGGCCTCTCTTTATAATACCGCCAAGTATTGCTCTCGTTAAAGCCTTTCTCCGGCGGCTCGCTGCACAACAAACTCCGCGGTCTGATTCGCACGGCATTGTCGCGCACTTTTTTCCTCCGTCGCACATTCGTCTGACTGCCGCCGTTCTGCACGCCACTGCCGAAAATACTGATGCGTCTGACCACCTCGAGCATGTTCGGTTCGCGGAATACGCCACAGAACCGACTAACTAGATGTCACCATTAATATTCCGCCACGATGCGGTCCTAGTACGAGACAGGAAGTCAGTTTCCCGGCTGAAATTTCATACTGTATGTCGCAGTCGAACTACTGGCTGGAAATTGTCTCTGAAGCGTTGAAAATAACGCACTGGTGTTTAAGAACATTCGGTATAATACCGTGGGATTGAATGAAAACTATGTCATGGTAAAGGGGTGGAAATAATATGTCAGATTGAAAAAATTACTCTATTTATTAACACTCTTAGACTCGATTCGCTAACCACGTACTTTTTTTAGTAAAGTTTCTATTGTAAATCAGGCATATACAGGGTGTCCCAGAAATAAGTGAAAGTATTTTAATTGGTAGTATAGTTCGACCACAGCACCAAGCCATAATCGTGTTTCTGGGGTCGAAATACCCACCCCTCAAAAAATGTTTGCACTTATTTAAGACTCTCCCTGTATATAACACAGACAATGGCAATCCGATGAAATAATGTTTTGTTATAAATTCACTATACAGGGTGGTCCAAACTGTATTACGGAAACTTCGGCAGCATATTCTACAGATAAAAATAAGTTTCATTTTTATCTGGATTTTTTCCAATTTCTAAATTAACCTCAATATTTGGATGAAAATTGGTGTCTGGAACTTTTTTTGACTTGAGAAATTTGATTCTGATGTTAATATGACTCCTACTTCTAAAGGACGCCACATGCATATTTTTTAACTGATTTGAATAGTAATAACTTTTCGTCCGTACCTGGAAAAAGCCACTGAGTAAAAAATATGCATTTACGACGTTTATTGGCGTAAAAAAGGTCTCTCTCTAAAAATCGCTATGAGTAATTGTTCTCGAGATATTTGGAATCGAAATTGACATAAATTAAACATGTTGACTAAATAGTTATTAGACTGAAATCATAAATTTGAAACGTTTTTGTTGCCAAAAGTTCAACAGAAACTGTTTTATCATAATTTTTTTCGAAGAAAAATTTATGATTAATTTAAAAAAAATAAAAAGTTACCAAATTTATCATTTCAGTCAAATAACTATCTACTCAACATGTTTATTTTTTTGTCAATAATGACATTTATCGACTATTTCCATTCTAAATATCTTGAGAACGGTTGCTCGTAGCGATTTTTAACAAGAGAAATTTTTTACGTAAAAAATCACGGAAATTATTATTTTATTCGGTAGTTTTATACAGGTATGGACGAAAAGTTATTACTCTTCAGACCAGTTAAAAAATATGTAGGTGGCGCCCCCTACAAGTAGGAGTCATATTTATATCAAAATCAAATTTCTCATGTCAAAAAACTCCCAGGCACCAATTTTCATCCAAATATTGACGTTACTTCAGAAATTAATTGGAAAAAATCAAAATAAAAATGAAACTTCTATACCCTGTATTCTACACCCTCCGAAACTAACCATTTTAGGACATACATTTATAAGAACGTTATTTTGATCTTCAGAAGTTTCCGGAATACAGTTCGAACCACCCTGTATATCAACCTATTTTGGAAAATCCATAAGTCCAAAAGGTTAACTTCAGAAATTAATTGGAAAAAATCAAAATAAAAATGAAACTTCTACACCCTGTATTCTACACCCTCCGAAACTAAGCATTTTAGGACATACATTTATAAGAACGTTATTTTGATCTTCAGAAGTTTCCGGAATACATTTCGAACCACCCTGTATATCAACCTATTTTGGAAAATCCATAAGTCCTTATTTGTATCTGAAAAAATTATTTGTATCTAAAAAAAGTAACAATTCAGTTTCAAAGCACATTTCTTAATGTTTAGTTTTTAATTAATTGTCTTTTAAATATTCTGTTTGTATATTTTAGTGTTTTTTAACTTTTTAATATCCTTTCTTAATTTTACTTTCGTTATTCTTTTAATGACAATTTTGTGTAACACTTATTGACTTGTGTATGAATTTGATTTCTAAATGTGAAAATTTGAATCTGAATTTGAAAAAAGGAAATAAATTTAAAATTCTAAAAATAGAAAAGAAATTCTAGACTTATGGATTTAATACAAACTACGACCACATTATAATACCAGTAGAATAACGATTTGTTTAGGCCACCGCTTAGAACAGATGTGGGCGATGACTGGTGTGTGTATATATGTATATATCTGTAACCGCCGATAAATATTTAGATATTGCGTAATCTAGGTCACTGCACTTCCCCAAGGGCGTTAGAAAACCACTTGTGAATACGCGCACATGTATCACCATTCACCTCTTCGCGATAAGGGAGGAAACAAGGGCACTCTTAAGAGACGACTAAGACTAGAGAGACACGTGCACGACAGTCGTCGACGTACTGTCTAACTCCCAGCGAAAGCGTAATAGCTAATGAGTAAGGACGGTTATTAGATTGCTCAATTGAACAGGTAAACGCTTAAGAATGGAGGTAGGAAAACGGCGTGTAGGTGGATGGGCTCGTCACTTCGACCATCCAATGCCTAGACATGACCTTTCATTGGCAAATAGTAATCAACATAAAGCACGATTTAATGTTGTTTCATTGCAAATAAATTAACTATATAAGATTGTTTCATTTCAGTTAATTTTTAAAATTTCAACAACAGCACTCGGTACGGCAGAAATCAGAACTTTCCGGCTCTATATTTCACGCAGTTTCGATGTTGATCGTATTGAAATAATAATAAAAGCGTGGCTTTGTCATATACAGGGTCCGGCAATAGCGCTTCGGGCATCTGTAGCTCGTAGAATAAAAAACTTGGGAATTTTATTTAGGTGCAAACTTAAAGTATGTTCTAGGATATATTTCAGGAAAACATTTTAACTTCTATAGGGTTGCTCAAAAAGAGTGAGTGGATAGAGATATTTTTCTTTAAATTGTAAACACCCTGTATATTATTGTATTTTTGGCTTCCTTTCAGATCACTTTACATAATCCTAGAAGAAATGAGTAAATATATTTTGATAGTTTCAGAGATAGGGAATGCAATCCCGCAAATGCGGGATCCCTCTGAGATTCCGCGGAATCAAAATTGCGGGATTTACCGTGCGGGATCCACTAATTAACTAAAACATTACTACTGGGTAACCGAATCGATTTCAATCAAGATCAAACCGCTTCGTTCCGGGCCGATGCGTCGACGCTCGGAACCCGGGGGATTCCCCCTATAGCTTGGCCATTAAAAATAAGTGAAACGAACAGGTTAGTTGTTAGATTTCTTTCTGGCGTATGTGCGTAAGTGAAGAAAAGCGTTTAACTAGTACTTGTGGACAATTTCGTCAAATAAGCTGCCGTATAATTATCGAAAGAAGCAAAATTTTAGGGTAAATTTAAAGTTGAATATCTCTTGAACTAAAAAAGATTTTGGGATGCGGTTTGGACCAGGTTTTAGATACATCTATTGTGATTAAGATGCTATATGATTTTCGAAAATATATTTAGTGAATTTTCGCATACAGGGTGTTTTATAAGAGGGTGCAAATTTGGTCAAGAATCTTTTTTACCGCAAATTTACAATTTTTAAAAAATCGAAATTTTTACCCAGTACGACTAATCTATATTGAAATTAAAAACAATTATTGCCGGACCCTGTATATTGCTATATTTTAATGTTAAGTAGAGAATGTGCTGCCAATAAAATATATTTAAATAATGACCTTTTCTCAAAATTTCCTCAACTGTTGAACTTGTGCGTTGGTGGTCTATTTTTATCCAGACAAACTTTAACAAGGTGATAAAAAGTAATTTTAAACTCAATGTCTGTATAAACAAATCGGAAATAGCTTCTTTTTCTAAGCTACAAGATTCTAAAATTTGTTGAAAAAATAATTTTAAAAAAATCACAGTCTGAGATCTTCAAAAATGAAATTTGTCCTAGAGTAAAATGGTCTAATTTTTCAAAATACGTCAAATATATTTGATATCAATCAAACTTTTAGATACGTAATTGAGGGCGCGATTTTTAAATTCATTCAGGTGGTAGCTCTGCTGTAAAAAATGCCAATCTGCTGCATTCATTTATTTATTTCCTGACATTGTCATTCGTTTTGACACTTTAGTTTTGTATTACGAGTTTTTAGTTTAAATAGATAGTGTTGTCATACTTTAAGCTTAAAAATGTTTACTAGCGGACTGCAGTCTAACATTGTTTTTTTTAGAACCTCTTATATACGAAGTGTACCGGGTGTCCCACTAACAATAGCTCTTGGCTGTATCTCGGAAAGTATTAGCCGTAGGGTTTACGGAAAAAAATACTTATAACTAAAGGGGCTGTGAGAAATTGCTGGAAATTATTTTCAAGTTTGTAGAACGACCGGTAGGGGGCGCAACTGCAACAAAAAATATGAAAATAGAGTTTTTACACAATTTTGACTAAATAAGGTGTACTATAAGTAATAGCTTCATAATCTTCAGTAAATTTTGAATATTTTTTGTTAGAGCTATTTTCCCCTATCTATAAAAATAAAGTGGTGGGGGAAGGTTAGATCTGTTTTTAATTAAATATTAATAACTCTGGACTGGATGATCGAAATCCAACAAGCGAGAGCTCGTCTAAAAGAGCGTTTCTTACTCTATATTGTACCATATAAATAATAATAATAAGCTTTTAAACGTAGACGCTAAGGGGCGTTGTCTTACAATTTAACAAGCATTGTGCGTTTTTTCAAAAAAATTAAATGCAATAGTATATGTAATTTTAGCTGATAGTAAAGAGTAGTAAAAGCTTAAAAAGTCAGCAAAAACCGCATCTTGATATCTTCTTTCAAACCGAAGATATTAGCAAAATTATAATAAATGCCAAAAAATAAGCCCTTAATTACCTTATTTTTACAACACGGTATCAGTAGCCCTCTTAATTTTGCCCATTCTAACAAAAAAATAAGATAGGAACAGTTAGTTTATTTTAAAATCGACGAAATACCAGAATACCATAATACCAGAGGTATTAATATCTAATAATTAAGATATTAATAACAGTGAACAAGAAACGATGGTTCGGTGAAGTCATGGTAGGCTTCGGAAAA